AAGCCAGCCGAAGATCAACGGAATGATGCAGACTGCTCGTTCAACGCAGCAATCTTCCTATCTAACGCCTTCTCAGACACTGCATACTTCTTGCTTTGCATCGCCATCCTTACAGCCTCTAACCCAGTCAACTTAATCGACAACGTACGGAGATATAGATGGACTCTCACAACTTAAAACTGTCACCCAAGTGCTGTCCTCACAGGAAGACGATGCAAGCCAGCAACTACGCGCCGAAACGGGTGCAGCGAACGCCGCAGACACTATGGACATAGTTCAATGTTAGAACAACCTAGCACACTTACCATTATACAGTACAACGTCAACAAGAGCCGCGAGACCCAGAGGGAGTTCCTGGAAAAAGCGGAGAGAGCCCAGCCTCAACCGCTGGTGCTAGCAATACAAGAGCCATGGAAGAACACACAGCAACAAGAGCATACAACACTCCGCACAAAGTCCTATTACCTTCTACACGGAGGAAGCCCACACACAAGAACGTGCATATACATCAACAAGAACCTCGACATCAACCAGTGGTCAGTAGAGCACCACTCGCCGGACCTTATCACCCTCTCTCTCCATACCGGTAGAGAGGACATCCAAATTCACAATATCTACAACCCGAAACCAAACGGAATCATAGCCGCACTACCCCTACTGCTAAACAACAACAACGCGGAGCACGTCCTCGTAGGTGACATGAACCTACATCACCCATCGTGGGGAGGAATACGAGTGATAAACACGGAGGAGCAAGCGGAGGAGCTTATCCGCATTATAACAGAAGCAGGAATGGACCTGGCCACGGAGAAAGGCATAGAAACGTGGGCGAGAGGAACATCGTGGTCTACAATTGACCTTACGTTCACAACAGGATGGCTAACAGAACGAACCACTTCCTGCACAGTGCAAGAGGAATAGAACTGCAATTCAGATCACCGCCCTATATATACAGAGTTCAACATCACCCCACCAAGCGCAGTAGAACAGCCACAACGTCGGCTGTGGAAGAATGCCGACTGGAAGAAGGCGCGGGAGCACCTCCAAACCCAGCTAGACAAGCTGGACAACTGGAACAACCCTTAAGACACGGAGGAGGACCTTAATAAATTTGCACGCCTCCTCCACAAATGCATACAGGCCACGATCGCTGCTATAGTGCCTATTGCAAGGCCATTAAAACAGGCATCGCCGGCATAGTTAGAAAAATGCTCGGAGGAAGTGCATAAAACTAGGAGGGCGTATAGAACGTAGCGCTTATCGCGATCTATAGAGGACTAGATATTATACTATATTTAGTGCAACTATAAGAAAAGAACTATATAAAGGGAGAGTACTAAGGTATAGCGCTGTATAGTAGAGAAAGTAATAAAAAACCTAAAAAGTATATAGAAGCTGGCTAATTAGGGCTATATAGCTAGCAAGGAATTAAAACCTCCGCCTTAATTTCCCCCTTTTTTAAAACCTAAGAACCCTACTCTATATATTTTTCCGCCTCCGGCTAATATAGACTTATTTAACCTAAAAGGGTTCTAATACCCGGAACTATATAATACTACGCTAGATATTATAATTAAAAATATTTTCTTAGCGCTAATAGGAACTGCCCTAAATAAAGCCCCGGGTATTACAGGGATTACTAATAGGTTTTTTAAAAAGTGTAAAATATAGCTAGTACCTATACTAGCTCGGTTCTTTATAAGGTGCCTATATAAAGAATACTATTCTTAGCTATTTAAAGATTTTATTATAGTAGTGCTATATAAGCCCTAAAAAGCGTTCTATATAATAGTAAAAGCCTATAGGCCGATTGCCCTGCTAGAAATAATAGGTAAGCTATTCGAACGGATTATAGCTATACGGCTATCGAAAATTGCGGAAGAAAAGAATATACTTCTACTTAGTTAAATAAAGGCATAACTAGAACGTTTAATATAGATAGCACTTAAGCTTTTTACTAAATAAATCCACGCTATATAGAAAGGAAATCTATAGCTTATAGTATTACTTTTTAGCCTAGATATATTAGAGGCGTTTAACTGTATATTATATAAATATATAATATATAACCTATAGATTTAATAAGTGCTAGAGTAAATAGTTAGGTTTATAAAGTCCTTTCTATAGAACCGCACTATAAGGCTTACTATTAGAAACTTTATAGCAGAACCTATTATAGTTACTATAGGAATACTATAGGGCTTTTTTCTATAACTAATACTTTTCCTTTTTTTTGCTAGCACGCTTCTACTAATACTATAGCGCGGTAATATAACAGCCTATAGGTTTATTAATAATATAAATATTTTTATATATAGTAAAAGTATAGAAAAGAACTATAGGGCTATTAAACGGGCGCATAACCGGTGTATAAAGTAGGTAAGAAAGTATAAAGCAGTTTTTACGCTAAATAAATACCACCTAATATACTTTATAAGAGCCTGTAAATCTATTAATATAAAAGCTATAGTTAATATATAGGGCTTTACTAAAGGCCCTATAATAGACCTAAAAATACTAGAAGTTTAAGTAAATTCTAAACTTAAATAGGGCCCGTATATTAATACTATAAAGAATAAAGCCACGGCCTAAATAGGGGCCCTTATAAGGCTTACGGCGTTAACCTAGGGTATAAGCTTCCGAAAGGCACGTATAATATACTCGGCGGTTATTAGGCCTGCTATTATATATAGATATATTTTCTAGTATACTATACTAGGTATAAAAAAGCAGATTAGTAAGACAAAAATTAAGCAGCTTAAAATAGTATAGAACTAGTACTTTTATACTATTTTAGGGGTATATAAAATAATAAATATTAGGGTAATAAAGTATAAAATATTATGCCCTCTACTTCGGCTAAAGCTAGAGGAACTTACAGTAGCCTACGCAGACTGTACACGTAAGGGGCCAGCCTATAAGTATATTAAAACCTAATATAGCTATATAAAAGAAACCGTCCGTGCTAAATATAGGCCGAAAGGAATACTATAGTACGGCCTAAGCAGGCGTAATAAACTCTGCAAGCTTATAGTAAAGGTATTACAGCTAGCCGCATAATATAAAGGCGAATCGGAAGAATCCTATAGGCGTATAAGGCGTGGTATAATCTAGGATAAATATAAAAAGAAGTAGAAGAAGGAATAGAAAGCCTACTATAAAAAACTATACTAAAAACCCCTAATACTAGCACTTAATACTAAATAAAGCAAATAATAAAAGGTACTATATAAAGAACTTATAAAGGTAGAAAGTATAATTATTATAAACCTATAGACGGAGTATATAGGGCTTAATAGTTACCTCTACTATATAAAAGTGCCCGGCCACCTAACGCCGGTATACCCTTACGGGCATAGCCTCTAATTCCTAAAATATATTATAATAAGTTGCGGAAAACACGTTAAAAGCAGGGGTAAGCTATTCTAAAAAGCTAAGATAAGGACGTATAAACAGCTCTATAGAAGCTAAAAAGGAAAAAAAGCCGTAGCCTAATAGCTTTTCTAAAAAATAGACCTCCTACTATACTTTTTAGTAGCTAAAAAAATAGTAGAAGCGGAGATATAGGTATTCCACTTTCTATAACTTTATATAACTATATATACTATATATACTATATATACTGCGTATACTATATATATTATATATACTACGTATACTACGTATACTACGCCGCCTATATTACGTATTTACCTAATAGCTATATCTACCTATATACTATAGCCCTTATATATATCGCAGCCTATATAGTACTACCCCCTATATATATTATTTAATTTAAGGACTAACGCCTTAATAAAGGGCACGCGTGTAAAATAACAGCACGCGTGCCTTTACGCTAATTCTAAACCAGTTTACTACTCCGGAATTAACTTAACCTGCGCCTAGAAAAACAACTATAAAACCCGGACAGATTTAGGAAAACGTATTATAATAGCTTATTCTGTAGTAAACTTAATAAATCTACTACGTGTTTCTAATAGCTATATAATAATAAGAAAAGCGCTTAGCGCTATATACCGCAGAGGACAGGGTTTTTATCCGAACGCTGTATAGCAGCAAACGGTTTTTTTTTATAAACTAGCCTAAATAGAATAGCTATATAAACCCTAATAGAAGCTACACCAGCGTAATAGAATTTAATAATAATAATATAGCTCTTATAGCTATTAATAATTAGCAGCTAATATATACCTATAGTGCGATCTTTTATATATATATTAAAATACTGCAGCTAGGTAATACTAAGCTTATTTATTATCTAGCTATTATCGCTTACTACTATAACTTAGTTTAGTGGTATATCGTCGCCCTTATACTATATAGAGAGATAGTACTTGCCTATAAAGATAATAAATAGCGGGATAGCCTATTTATAGGCATTAATTCCTTAGATTATTATTATCTATTCGCGATTGCCTGGCTGTATAGCTTTTAGTTAATTGCGCCGCTCGGAGCCTGTTATAACTATACTTAATAAGATAACGCCTATTTAGAAGCCAGCTTTATTAAAGTTGTATATATTATTATTAATAATACTATACTTTGCTTTTATATTATATATAAGCTTAAACTAATTGCTAATAACCTCTAGATCTTCGTATAGAGCTTTTTAATAGTCGTACTTTCGATTAAATTTTGTTTTAAGCTCGTCCGTTCGCTTAATAAAGTTGTTTAGCTAGTTAATACCCACTTAGCCAGCACCGCGCTCGGCAAGTAGCTTATTAGCTATCTCTCGTACAGTAGTTAAGCTAGGCGAAAACCCTTGCGAATCTAGGTCGAGTATATATTAAACAATAGCTAATTCTTTAAGCTTTATAAGCTTCTTTAAATTAGGCTTATAATCGCGTTGTGTAGTTATTCCGCTGCGTTGGTTTTAGAGCGTGCTTTTAGGGACATTATATATACCTGCAGCGCGTTATTCGCTTGGAATTTAATTTTGTCGGATAGCTAGGAGAGCTAAGGCTAGCCTGCCTTCTTTTTAGATTAATTGCGCGTTGTGTTATCGACGCATATTAGTTGTTAGTTAACGCGTCGCGTTTTCGTAATAAGGTGGCCGACTCGCTTATATAGCCGACTCGCTTATAAAGTACGTTATTAAATAAAAGTAATAGGAAAGCTATATATTATATTATAAAGAAGAGAATAGAGCCTATAAATTTTACAGTTTCTAAAAGTTTTTTTCTAATTAACTAAGCGATAACGTCTTAGCCACCTAGTTAAGCCAGCCACCCAGCCGAGCCACCTAAAATTACCGCTAAAACTACTAGTTTTGCACGCTTATAACTCTACCACCACTTAATATAAAACTATAAAAATTTATATTTAAGTATTTAAATATATAATTTATAGAATTATTATATTAATTTTATAATATTTTTATTACGGATCTAAAAATCCCTAATTTTGCTAGTAAATAAAAGCTTTCTAAGAAAATAATAAAATAACTAGTGTAATTAGTAATAATTATATTTATTAAGTTTAATATATTAAAAATATTTATATAGAAGTATTTATATTTAAAATTTAAATAATTTATATTAAGTAGTAGTAGAGTTATAAGCGTGCAGTAATTTTAGGTAGCTTAGCTAGGTAGCTAAAATATTAGGTACTATATAAGCTCCTTATCTATAAATTTATATATATACTTATTAAGTATAGCTTTTATAAGTATAATTCGGAAAAAGGTACTAGTAAAGGTATTAAGGTAATAAATAGATAAATAGATAAATAAATAGTAAAGCGCCTATTAGCTACTAACTATTTAAAAAATTTCTAGGCTTAGGCTAATTTTTTTTTTAGGAACTAGTCTACTTACTTTTATAAGAATTTAATCTGCTAATAATAAGCTTAATAATAGATAGATAGATATACTCTATTACCCTTACTATATATAGCTTTTATTACTACTACTATAAAAACTCTTGCTAAGTATATAGCCTAAAAAATTA